CCCGCAGGTGATAACCTACCCGCTTAGCCTTAAACTGACATCTCTCTATACCCTTTCATAGCCACAACTACTACGTCATCACTTAATCTTCCTAAGTCTGGTCTCACAACAAGACATGAAAATCTAATTCATTCCATAGTTAAACAAAATGGAAGATCCTTTAATACACTCATAACTCGAGACTATATGTCATATCCAAAACAAAATAAAGCACCCAATAATACTTTTCACATTCCAAGAAAGCTCCTCCCGTCAAATTCAAACCATTTGAGCACATCCTGCAATCACATCATACTTATCATATAGCCATCCAGCCACTCATCGAGCCAAAAATTCCACTAATAGGGATACTACCAGACATATAAGTCCAAGATCACGTGCTCACACAACCAAAATCCCTGTGCCCAAGCTACAGTCAAAATCCAACCACAAACCCTCCAGACCAGCCCATCATCGGCACATTGAAATCACATCTCGCACTTCATCCACAGAATTACAAGTCTCCAATACGCAGCTGATACCGAGCGCTCATATGCCGATCCGCAAAATAGGTATGGATGTCATCATGCTGATCCGCAAGATTCTCTAGACACTTGCTCATGACTTGTAGAACCTATGAACCTAGAGCTCTGATACTAATTTGTCACGACCCAAAATTCGACTAGTTTTGATAGCACCTAACCCAACCCGCTACGTAAGCCAATTAACAACTATCCAATTCCAATGAAATTTAATAAGAGAATTAAGTAAAAAAAAATATATGTAGCACAAATCATGAGCTTTTAAGATATAGAGTTTACAAAACTGGTGTGAAATAAAAATACATCATCTATTTGAAATATACATGAATAGATTAATAATTCTAAAGCTACCAAGAACAAAAGGCAGCTATGACTAGAACGCAGGTAGAACTTTCGATCCAGCTCCCACCATAAGCAGCAACATCAGCACCCAACACAAGGTGCAAATGTGTAGTATAAGTACAACGGACCCCATGTACTCAATAAGTAACAAACCTAACCTTAGGTTGAAAGTAGTGACGAGCTAGGACAAGGGTCAGAATCCAACACCAATAGTCGACAATAGTTCAGAACAACATAATGAAAGTAATAAAAGAAGTAACTCAGAGATAAAATGCTCAGCTCGTTCACAGTTTCAAAAATAGGTATGCTTTTCAAGTATATCAGTGAAAACCCAAATCTTTTACCGAAATCGCCAAAAGTATGAGTAAGTTTGAAAACTGTAAATTTTCCCAAAGCTTTCAACAGGTAAATGTTTCACTTTCAAATGGCATGAGGAAAATATATCTCTATGCCCATATGTCAATATGTGCAAGAAGGCATGAATGTCGTGATACCGTACAACGTGTGGAAAATGCAATGTATCTCAGAGATGAACTCAAGTACTCACACTCTCAGAGTACTCAATCGCACTGTCTCACACTTTTTCACTAATCATGATCAATCACTTGACATGATAAGTCACTCAGTACTGTATATGGCCAATCCAGTCCAGGGAAGATCCATCACAAATATATATATATATNTGCTTCGAGCAAGATCCATGCCCAAGGAAGATCCACCTCTTAATATAAATCAACTGCACTCACTGGGGGTGTGTACAGACTCCGGAGGGGCTCCTTCAACCCAAGTGCAATAATAAGCCAGATCCAGGTATAAATCAATATAACATGATGCAGCGTGCAATCCGATCCTATAATATCACTCACACTCAGGACCTCGGCCTCACATAGTCATCAATTTCTCTAATCTCTTGGGCTCACAATGCCATGAAACTAGCCCAAAATGATGATATGATGTGTCAATAAATAGCAACATAGACTGAGATATGATATGAAATGAATGAACATGACCGAGTATGAAATTGCAATTTAAACAAATAATTCAATAGCAATATGACCTCAATAGCTCTAGTATGTAGAGATTTCATGGTTACAGGTTACAGATAAGATCAGGAAACTACACAGTACCAAAAGAATAATAGAGTCACAATTCACATAGTCACGTCCACACGCCTGTCACCTAGCATGTGCGTCACCTCAAAGCCAAACACATAACATGTAATACGGGGTTACATACCCTCAGCACCAAGTTTAGAATTGTTACTTACCTCAAACAGGCCAAATCCAATACCGAGCAAGCCAAACGATGCACCAAAGATACTATCACACACGTACTAACCTCCGAACGGCTTGAAACTAGCCAAAAACAACTCAAATACATCAAATAATGCCAAAGAAAACAAACCCAATCGATAAAGGTTGAATATTTAATCAAAATCCCAAAATCAACCAAAAAGCCAAACTCGGGCCCATGCTTTGGAACCCGACAAAACACACAAAATACGACAAACAATTTAATTATGAGTCCAACCATACTAGTTTTACCCAAATCCGACTCTGAATCGATGCTCAAAAGTCAAAAATTCACTCTATGAAACTTTGGACAAAAACCCTCAATCTTCTCTTTAAAATTCACAATCCAATTACCAAAAATAAAGTTAGATTCATGAAAAATAAACAAAACCAAGTAGAGAACACTTGCCCCAATTTATATGGTGAAAATTGCCTCAAATATTGCCCAAATCCGAGCTCCCCAACTCAAAATATGACCAAAAGAACAAACCCTCGATATTAAATATTTTTACCCAGATGTTCTGCCTCGTTTCATAAGCCAAACAATCCTGAAACTCACTTTTAACGCCTCCAATAGATTCCTTGTAATATTTTAGTCAAGTTAGGCTTTTGAATCACTCCATTTGACCTCATAATGAAGGAGATATGTTGATTTCAATATTTGAAAATAGTGCAGATTTTTAAATACGAAATCAGTGGCAATTTCATAATTAATCTGAAAAATCTGGCAATCCACTTCTTAGTAAAATGACCATAAACTCCTCATACTATGTCCAAATTCTATGATTCTTTTTTCTATGGCTCTGTAATTACGATACAGATCTAATGCTTGAATAAAACTAGAAATTGGAGCTCATTTACTTAATGTTTTACCATTTATATGATAAGTGGAAATTTTAACCATTATTTGCTCTCTTTTTACTTGCGTTTTGGGCTTAAAATGCGTAAAAGTATTTCCGAAAACTAACATAATATGTTTGCTTGCAGGGATTGTTCACAATGAGCTAAAGTGTCCATGATCAACTCATAAAAGGAGTTAAGACCTGAATAAAGACCAAGGCTGGGCCAAGACTGTAGAATGCGGATTGCGATAGAAAAGTGCGGCCAAGAAAGGGAGAATCAGAGAGGTAAAATTTGGGCACAGACATGGACGCGGACCGTGCTGGAAATTGGCGGCCGTGAACATACTACCGCGGCCGCGATTATTATTTCGCTGACCGCGTGTGCTTAGATTCAGAGAGCTCAAAAAAGGGCAAAAATGTTAAGCGCGGACCGCATCACAAATACGCGGCCGTGGAAGGCTCTCACGCGGATACGGTGACAATTACGCGCTCCGCGAAACAAGTTCCAGCCCAGTCTTAGATGTGAAGAAATGCAGACTGCGGTCAATATTATGCAGCCGTGAAAGCAAAAGTGCGGTCGCGGTCAGAATTATGCGGTTGCGAAACCTCCGCATGGGCATTTTTGTCCGGGAACATCGGCCTAGTATAAATAGATCTTTTTCATATTTTTAGGTCAAGTTATGTCTGTTGAACACGTGAGACGGCTATTTTTTCCTATTTGGGCAATTTTGTATAAGATTTACCATATAACTTTAGATTTTCATCTTTTAATTTAGTATTACGAATTTTATCTTCTCTTTATCTTTGATTTCTACTATTTTCATGAGTAGATAAACCCATAACTAGGGTTGTGACCCAACCCTAGTGTGGGTATTTAATGGGTCTTGAATATTAATGCTTGAATGTGTATTGGTTAGTGGTATTTAGCCTAGTTCTTGCTAGAACTAAGAAATTGATGGTTGCAAATACTCATTCATGCCTTTATGACTTAGTCTCTACTTGAGAAAGTGGGACTAAGTCTAGGAAAATTAGGCTAACAAGGAATTGGGGTGAACTGAAGAAATTGATATCCCTAGTTAAAGGGATAAACCTAGAGATAGTAATACCCTACTTGAGCTAAATTCACTTGAATTGCATGAATACCCATTTGGACTTGAGAAAGCCAAATTGGGCAAAATCACTCAAACTACCGAGAGGTATAGAGTGAGTACTCGAGTGTAATAGCTATACTACGACCCCAATTAATCACATGATTGCCCTAGATTCATGCTACCCGTTAGGTATCCACCTAGGCGGAAGTCACTACCCTAGTCCCTTTAAATCTTTTAAAACAACTAACAAAAATATTGTACTTAGTTTCAAAAACTGCATGTTATAGAATAGAAGTAGAAGTAGAAATGAAACCAACCATTCGTGGAAGTGCAATTTAGTGCAAAAACCGCATCTCTACTCGGATATAAACCTAAATCCAAACTAATTGACTCCTTATGGATTCGATCCTGACCTTTATTGGTTAAAACTACATCGACCATCCTTTCTACTAAATAGTAGTACATGTTTGGAACCAATCAGTTTTTAGCGCCGTTGCCGGGGATCGAACCCGCATCACCCGCGTGACATGCGGGAATACTGACCACACATTGCACCAGCGAAGTCCATGAACTATCCGAAATGGGGTACACAACCCCTGCATCTAGCTACTATATAATTTCCTTCTTGATGACCTCTTGCATGGACTAATTCAACCTCCTTTGGTGTTCCATAGAGGGTTTGGCATCATCCTCTAGTATAATTTTGTGCATGTGAAAGGCCGGGCTTATACCCCGAATGTCAACCAAAGTCTATCCAATTGCCTTTTTCCTTCTTTGGAGCACCGCAAGGGTGGCATCTACCTTCACGTTAGTTAAGCACGAAGAAAGAATAACAGGTAAAGTTGAACAAGGGACTAAGAATTCATACCTGAGATGTGAAGGCAAAGGCTTCAACTCCAATATAGGAGGCTCCTAGATTGAGGGCTTTGTTGGTGGAGTCTTTCGGTTCTCAAGATCCATGGAAATTTTCTGGGGCTCATATATGTATGAACTCATTCCTTGCAAAGCATTAACATATTCCACCAAACCTTCATCCTCAGTCACATCATGGTTCAACAACACAGCTTCCCAAGGGTCCTCTACATTAATAACAACACTGGTGTCTTTAACAATCACCTCGGTCACAAGATCCACAAATGAACATACTTTGTTGCTATTGGGCTGCCTCATTGACTTGCAGACATGGAGCACAACTTTTTCATCACCCACTGGGAAGGTGAGCTCCCCTTCTTCCACATAAACTAAAGCCTTCCCTATATCTAGGAAAGGTCTCCCTAATATGATCGGCACCTTATAGTCAACCTCGCAGTCAAGTATCAAAAAATCCGTGCGAAGTATGAACTTGTCAACCCGAATTAGCACATCATCTATTATCCCCAATGGCCTATTCATTGTTCTATCCGCCATTTGCAACCTCATGGATGTGGACCTTGGTTTCCCAATCCCCAACATCTTGAACACAGAATATGGCATCAATTTAATGCTTGCCACCATGTTGCACAAAGCCTTGGTGAAATCGGCACTACCAATAGTGCACGGTATTGTAAAAGCACCGTGGTCTTCTAGCTTTGGGGCCATGGAATGTACAATGAAACTCAGTTGATGCGTCATCTTGATTGTTTCACAATTCATGGATCTATTCTTTGTTATCAAGTTGGCATTTGTTCTAGAGCTTCCACCAAAGGCACGTTTATGGACAAAACTTTCATTATATCAATAAATTTCTTGAACCGGTTCTCATTATTTTGTTTTGAAAGCCTTTAAGGGTATGGTGGAGGAGGCCTTGGAAAAGGAGACTTGGCTTTGGGCACTACCGTTTCCGGTATATCTATCACGTGTTCCCTAGACGTGTTCACATCATTTTGTGTATCCTCCACGTTGTCATCAAAGTAAATTCTCACTTCTTCATCCATATTCTCATCACTCACTTGCACATCATTTCTTTGCTCATCATCTTGCAACAACACATCATCACTCACAACCTTTCTTGCATTAGAGGTACTAGCATCTCCACCTTTACCACTTCTTGGAGTCATCTCCATAGCATGGCCCGTATTGTTCCCTCCCTTCGGGTTTAATACCGTGTCACTAGGTAGTGCCCCCTTAGGGAAAGTATTCAAAGCTTGAGAAATTTGGCCAAGTTGGATCTCCAAGTTGCAGATTGAATTATTGTGGGATGCCAATTAGGCATCGGAGTCAGTGTTTTTCTTCATCATTTGCTCAAACATTGACTCAATCCATCCCATCTCATTATTGGACGAGCTAGGACCTTGTGATGGATATGGAGGCGAGTTGTTAGGTTGTTGAAATATCGGAGGCCTTTGAAAGCCCGGCCCTCGATTTCCCTAATTATTGTTATTCCAAACCCCTTGGTTGTTATTGCCTCCCCAATTGCTAGTGTTATTTCCACCCCAGTTGCCTTGTTACCTTGGTTGCCCCAATTTTGATTATTGTTCCCCCAGTTTCTTTGGTTGTTGTTGTTGCCACTGTTCCAATTTCCTTGCTTATTTTGATTTCCCTAATTTCCTTGGAATCTTCATTGTTGTTGTTGATTCAGAGCATTGCCCCATTGTTCTTGGTAGTTGTTCACATATTGAACCTCTTTACTTTGATCATCATACACATCATCTTGATTGTAACCACTACCACCTAGCTCAAATTGATCCGGATTTCCTTAACTTTGTTGACCTCTTTGCCTCCTCTTTTTGACCATCATATTTACCCCTTATATGGCATTCACTTGTTTTGGCCCTTGAACTTGCTGCAATTGAGCTTTGGCCAACTAGTTCATGGTCGTAGTTAACTCGGCTATTGCTTGATCGTGGTCATGGAGCTCTTTGTGTGGGTGAACGACATTGGGATCACCTTGTGGCACATTACCTCTACTTTTTCACACCGAGGAAGTATCCGACATCTCATCAAGTATATCACACGCCTCAGCATAAGGGTTAACTACACACTGGTTAGTAGTGTTGATGCCACAGTAGAATGTTTGTTGGATCATGGCTTTGGTCATGTCATTGTTCGGATATTCTTCAACCATCGTCCGTCATGAAGCGGTTCATTTGGCTCTTGTTTAAAGACAAAGATTTCATCTCTCAGCATCGCCATATGTCCCGGTGAGAAGAACTTTGCTATGAATTTTTTGGCCAACTCATCCCAAGTGGTAATGGAATGGTTGGGCATTTCATGCCAATCCAAAGCCTTCCCCTTAGAGAAAACAGGGAAAGACTTAATCTCAATGCATCCTTAGAAACGTTATTTTGCTTTCTCCCCCAACATGTATCAACAAAAACCTTGAGATGCTTGTAGGCATTTTGGTGTGGAGCTCTGGTGAAGAAACCCCTTTGATCCAAGAGTGTAAGCATGACATTGGTTATTTGGAAGTTGCCCACCCTAATCCGGGGGGGGGGACTATTGCACTTGCATATCCTTCGTTGGGAAACACCTGGTGTGCTGCCCTTGCTGGAGGTGGGGAAGGGTTTGGAATATTATCATGAGACGGTCGGCCTCTCCTTTATGCTTGTGGTTCGGGTTGAATCTCATCCACATTATCATTATCTACCTCCTCCCCCGATGGAAAATTTCCGGGAGCATCATTGTTAAGAGCCATTTTGTACCTAAAAGCAATTCACAAACAAATTAGAAAATCAGAAGAAAAGAAAAACAAAACACACAAATACTCGGAGATATAGCTAAAACCGTTTAACTCCAAGGCAACGGCACCAAAAATTTATTGATTCCAAACTTGTACTACTATTGAATATCAAGGATGGTCGATGCAATTTTACCCAACAAAGGTCGGGATCAAATCCACATGGAGTCAATTAGTTTGGAGTTAGGTGTATATCCGAGTAGAGATGCGGGTTTTGCTCTAAATTGCACTTCCACGAATGGTTGGTTTGTTTTCTACTTCTACTTCTATTCTATTGCATGAAGTTTTTGAAACTAAATATAATATTTTTGTTGGTTGTTTTCAAAGATTTAAAGGGACTAGGGTAGTGACTTCCGCCTAGGTGGATACCTAACAGGTAGCAAGAATCTAGGGCAATCATATTATTAATTCGGATCGTAGTATAATTATCACACTCGGGTACTCACTCTATATCTATCGGTAGTTTGAGTGATTTTGCCCAATTTAGCTTTCTCAAGTCCAAATAGGTATTCATGCAATTCAAGTGAATTTAGCTCAAGTAGGGTATTACTATCTCTAGGTTTAGCCCTTTAACTAGGGCTATCAATTTCTTGAGTTCACCCCAATTCCTTGTTAGCCTAATTTTCCTATCTAGGGAATCATGTGATTAATTGGGGTCATAATCTAGCTATCACACTCGGGTACTCTCTTTATACCTCTCGGTAGTTTGAGTGATTTTTACTAATTTGGCTTTCTTAAGTTCAAATGGGTATTCATGCAATTCAAGTGATATTAGCTCAAATCGGGTATTCCTATCTCTAGGTTTAACCCTTTAATTGGGGCTATCAATTTCTTGAGTTCACCCCAATTCCTTGTTAGCCTAGTTTTCCTAGACTTAGTCCCTCTTTCTCAAGTAGAGACTAAGTCATAAAGGCATAAATCAGTGTTTGCAACCACTAATTCAATAGTTCTAGCAAGCTAGGCTAAAAATCACTATCTCATACACATTCAAGCCCTAAAATTCTAGACCCATAAAATACCCACACTAGGGTTGGGTCACAACCCTAGCTATGAGTTTAGCTACTCATGAAAATAGCAGAAATCAAAGATAAAGAGAAGATAAAATCCATAATAATATATTAAAAGATGAAAATCTAAAGTTATAAGGTAAATCTTGTACAAAATTGCCTGAACAGGTAAAACTAGCCGTCTCACATACTCAGCAAATCGAAAGCTGAACAAAGTGACCCGCAAATATCATTTTCCATTGCCCTTTCTTGACCAAATATTGGATAGACTTGTCAGGCGTGCATACTATTTCTTTTTGGATGTGTACTCAGGTTACAACCAGATTTTGATTGCACCAGAAGACCAAGAGAAAATCACCTTCACATGGCCGTATGGCACCATTCTCACGGATGCTATTTGGTTTGTGTAATGCACGGGCTACCTTTCAGTGGTGTATGATGGCAGTATTTACGGATATGATGGTGGACTTCCTCGAAATGTTCATGGATGATTTTAGTGTTGTGGGTGACTCCTTTGAAGAATGCTTGGGTAATCTTGACTAAGTGTTGGCCCGATGCGAAGAGACCAACCTAGTGCTTCATTGAGAAAAGTGCCACTTTATGGTCGAGGAGAGCATTGTCCTCGTCCATAGGATCTCAAAGAACGGTATTGAAGTAGACAAAGCGAAGATTGAAGTGATTTCAAAACTCCTCCCTCCTACTTCCGTCAAGGGAGTTAGGAGTTTTCTAAGGCATGCGGGCTCTACCATCAGTTCATCAAGGATTTCTCAAAGGTGGTGATTCCCTTGTGCAAGTTGTTGGAAAAGGATGCAAAGTTTGTGTTCAATGATGATTGCATGAAAGTAAGCTTCTCAAGTATAGATTGACTACCACTCCCATCATTACCGCACCCAATTGGAGCTTACCGTTTGAGCGCATACGCGACGCTAGTGACGTTGTGGTAGGAGCGGCTTCGGGGAAAAGGATTAACAAGATATTTCATCCGGTCTATTATGCAAGCAATATGATAAATGACGCCCAAGTCAACTATACGGTGACCGAGAAAGAGTTACTAGCTGTAATACCCTATATACAAATAAGGGCAAATAAGTCTTTAACTAAGTTTTAAAAAAAAGGGAAATAATAGGAGAATGGGCCAAAGCCCATCTGGAGGAAAAGAAGAAAAAACGTGAAAAGGGGGAAGGGGAAAAAGAAACGCAGCAAACTGCTGCTAAACAATAGAGAAAACAAAAACAACGAAAACCATAGAGGAGGAGGAAAAAAAGGAGAAGAAGAAAGAGGCTAGAACCAAACCTTGAGAAATTATAAATACGCACTGGTTCTTACGGGTAATACTCGAATTTCTCATATGGATTCTTTTCTTATGGTAATTCTTTTTATCTCAGTTCATATATTTGAAGGGTTTCACAAGGTATAAGAAATATAATACCAATAAGAGTTATTTTGGGCAAATTATACAATTGGAAGTTAGTTAATATTACTGTAGGATAGATTCACATAGAAAAAAGATGGGTATTGATGTATTTGTACTTAAACTAGTCTCATTATATATGATATTTGTTAGGTGTAAATTAAGTTAGGGTGCAAGGATTGAGCTTTGGTGTTTAACTATATTGCAATGATAATATCGGGTTTGGGTTTGAATGTGGTAAGTCTAGTATTGAGTAAAAAAGATAAGTACCAATAAAGAAGGAATATTATAGGCAGTAAAGTTATTTCAGTTTTAATTTATGCACACGATTAAGGAAATTGAACAGTAAAGGGAATAAACCATATAAATACTTTTTTATTTAAAAGATTTTGGACTAATTTAAATTACTCGTAGCATGGGTAAATATAACTCGACGAATTGATGATAAAATATAAAACTCGAAGGATTGGGTATTCTAAATTAGTGATGAATTTAGCCTAAATGAGGCAATTAACACGAGATCGATGTTGATGTGGTT